AGATCGTGAGCTTAAATGGGCTCAGGCACAGAGGACTCTCCATGGGTTGCATCAACCAGAGACGCGGTTTACTGAACGCAGTACTTTTAATGAGCTTAATCAGATAGCTGAAGAAGCAAAACGACGGGCTGAGATAGCAAGGTACAAAAATAGTTACGTTTTGAATACGACATTTCTTTTAGCCAGGGCCGCTTCATAATATCATTTTTGGCTTTTATACTTTAATAGGTTAAATAAGATCATAAAAACTCGGCCTATTTTTTCTTAATTGATTTTAAATTTATATAATAAACAACTCTTACTATTCAATGACAAATCTTTGCATCTTTCTCATATTAACCATCGAAGACAATTTTCATAATGTTACTTTGCCTTAATTTTGCAGGCTGAGAGAACTGACTACACTGAAAGCCCATGTCGAATCCGTAGTAAAACTGAAGAATCTCGACATAGAAACAATTCAGCAGTCGTACACGGTTTGAGTCCGATTATGGCGAAATTTAGACGACCTTACGCCCCAGTGGTGGTGTATGTTGATTTGGCTTACAGTCATCAGATTGCTATTTCTTCTTCTTTTCCGTGTCCATATTTGTCTGGTTTTTTGGGTTTAGGTTAGAAACCTCGATTTGGAAATTGAATTTTAAGTATCATCTAGTGCTTCCAGTGATTATCGAATGGCAGAGTTTGATCTTATTGTCGCAAAAATTTGTAAAAAAATTGTTTATGTCAAGCACTTGTTTATTTTATAATATATAATTTTTTGCAATTAGTAATTATGCTAGTTTGGAAATTTTAGTATTATTATTTTATTACTAAAATTTACTTTTTAGTTTTAATTTTCTTTATTTCAGCATGATGAAATATGCATAACTCCACCAATCCTACAGAGTGCATGTTTAGACTACGGTGGTGAAAGTCAAAATTGACGAGACATGCATTAAAGTCAAAGTAAAATTTTATTTTCAATTGAACATTCAAAATTATTGCCTAATTAACATATTTTTCAGTCCCAACAATTATTTCTCCTAAAAAATTACTGATAATATTTCTTGAAAGGCAAAATTTTCAATTAATA